TTCCAGTCACTGTATATGTAACACTGGGCACTGTTACTGAAGATGTAGAACACTATTTTCCCACAAGATAGCAGTGTTCACTACTTTGTCTACCATAGTTCTATACAAGTGCCCAGAGCAATCTGGGAGATGTAGTCTCAAAGAAGGTTCTTGCATGCAGTAAAGCTGAAGTCAAAACAAGCCCATAAGCATCAGCCAAGGGAGGGACAATATAAAATAAAAAGCCTGGTAAGGAGTCAAGGCCATTGGGGAGAGGTGTGCCATCTGGCAAAGGTGTGTGTGGAACTGCGCTGAGCCATGCTGTTTAGACCAGGCTGAACTGGACTGCATTCTACAGAGCTGCATCAAGCCAAGGAGCAGATTTCTGGGCTGAGCAGTGAGCCATGAAACAACCTGAGGGAGATCCTTTATTATCCAGAGTCATTGCTGTGTTACATGCGCCCTGATCACTGCAGCTGTATTGTCACTCAAGGGGACCCCCACTGTGCAGACAACTCACATTCTCCTAAGGATTGCCGCAAGAGGACTGAGTGAGAGGATCACTGACCCACATCGCTGCTATACTCGACAGCTAGCTCTTGGTTTACCATGCAGGCCTAGCAGGGCTGTTACCTTTCATTGACACTGTTCTCCAATAGGACTCAACCATATTGCTGACATTTATTACTTAAAGTTGCATTTATCAACACCAAAGATGCCACTAACGCAGACTGCTGAATTGATTTACCCCCTTTTCGTATCACCACTTGTTGTAATATATTTCAACATTAACTCCTTCCAATCTTCCTTCCACATTGCATGCCCCATTCTTCCAAACACATTTGCCGTGGCTTTACTGATTTAAAGGGGCATATCCATTGACTGGGTTTAACCCTTTGTTGAACTGCTTTCTGAACAACACAACCCAAAACAGCATCACAGTCTTTTGCGCACCAATGATAAAAGGCCCCAACTGAGTCAGCAGAAGCTAATATCAGGGAACTGTTGAGACCTTATGGCCTGCCTGGTGGCAGCACTGGTTTGCTGGTATAAAGTAACAAACTTTCAGGCCTAATCCTAGCCTCTCCCAACTGAGAACCCTCAAGTGAGCCAGTCTGTCGTACTTATTGTTAGGCATCCACAGTCACTTTGGGTGTAATCTCTCAGTTAGAGAGCTGTTGTTTATGCCCTTGGTACTACTACTGCTTAGTCCAATCTTACTAAGCATAGACAATTGGATTTATTGGTTAAATCTGGAATAGAGGTTATGTCTATCTCGGATCATGCTCCTGTCACGGATAGACTATGGGTTGGAGATGAATGGAATAAGAGGGCTATGTGGAGATTAAATGAGATGCTTATACAAGACCCTGAAATAGAGAAAATTTTAAGGGAGGAAATAGAGCAATTTTTTGTTCTGAATGAAGTCGAGGAAGTATCTGTGACTACTATATGGGAGGCACATAAGGCTTATATCGGGAATTTTGATCGCCGCAGGGACTAAAAAAAAAGAGACATTGGGAGAGAAAAATAAGGTTGGTGACGGAGGAGTTATATAGACTGGAACAAGCACATAAAAAGAAGCAGGATATAGATGCACATCAGAAGATTACCCTTAACCACTTCCAGACCGGACACTTTTACCCCCTTCCTGACCATGGCAATTTTCAGCTTTCAACGCTATCACACTTTGAATGACAATTGCGCGGTCATGCAACACTGTACCCAAATACATTTTTTACCATTTTTTTGAGACAGATAAAGCTTTATTTTGGTGGTATTTATTCACCGCTGGGATTTTAATTTTTTTTGCTATGTAAATGAAAAAGTCCAAAAATTTTGAAAAAAAGTGTTTGTTTTTTTAATAAAATTTTGCAAATAAATAATATTTCATCATAAATCTTGGCCAAAATTTATTCCGTTATCTTTTTAGTAAAAAAAAAAAATCCAAATTAGTTTATAACCAAAAAGTATAATTTTTAAACATTTGTTTTAAATTTTTATTTTATTTTTTTATATTATTATTTTTTATTTAAATTTTTTTTTTTTACATACTGTCACCCTAGCAGTACAGTGTCACCATGGTGACACTGTACTACTTGTGGGGAGTGATGAAGATTTCTTTTTTTTTTTACACTGATTGCTTTTACACCCATATAGGATGTAAAAGCAATCATTTCTCTATCTCTCTGTGTGCATTCTTGCACTCATTGAGAAGTACTGAGAGAGCTGTTGTGAATAGCCTTGTACCATGTGACCTCTGTGATCATTCACAGATTTCACACGTAGTAAGCAATGATGTCACAAGTGACATCTTGCTTACTACTTTGCATGTGATCACTGATTGGCCAATCAGTGATCACATGATCGGGACCTCGTACAGAGGTCCCGTCCAACGATCGGTGTTTCACTGTGTCCGGAGGACACAGCGGGCACCGGATCGCGGTGCCCAAGGAGCGTGCACAAGCAGGGTGCAGGGAGGCCGTTTATAAACGGCCACCCGACCCTGCAGTGCCATCGTCTGGCCGTTTATATGCAACGGCCGGTCGGGAAGTGGTTAAAAGAGAGGAATTAAAAGATCTGATGGAACAGGAAACGAGGAAGGTCTTTAATAGGGTTTCAAAAGAAAGATATCAGTGGGGGAATAGACCAGGAAAATATCTGATGAAAAGATTGAAGGAAAGAGAAATCTAAATATTTTATAAACAAAATCAAAGATGATAAAGGGGAATTGGTGTACTCCACCACTGATATTGCCAATACGTTTTAAAAGTATTATAGTAGGTCCCTGTGTGGCTAGTTAGTTCCCAGCTGTGATGACATGGAGCTGTCAGGAAAACGGAAAATTGAATGACAGATAATTACCGTTATTTTCCTTTCCTGACAGGCTCCAAGGCAGTACAATTCCCACCCAGCTTGGTAGGACTAGTTACAGAACACTGGGGCTGCGAGTGGGCTCAAATTTATGAGTTAGGTCCTGGAAGCATGGGGGGGCGGGGCCCTTACCCAGCTGTGCTGACATGAAGCCTGTCAGGAAAGGAAAATTACGGTAAGTATCTGTCATTCAATTCTCCATTGTCTGTATTGCTCTGTTCTCATACCCTGGAGCACTCTTAACCCTGAATCACTGAGCTGCTGTATTGCTTTTTAACTCTAGTCTGCCAATACAATCTGTTTATCTTGTAAGTGTCAGTGTGTGCCAATCTTGTGGGACTGCTGGGAGTTCCTGGCCAAGGTATTCTGGTGATGTCAGCAGGAGTGAGGTTCCACCTTAGGCCTAGTTCACACTGGCATTGAAATCAGGCAAAAGCCCATGCAAAGGATACTATGGGCAGCACATAGTGCTGTTCACATTATCAAAACATGAAGCGTTAGCATTGCATTGCTTAAAAATTGAAGCCTCATGTCGAGCCAGGAGGGGTTTGAAGCCTGTCAACGCCTCCCATTTAAATCTAGGGTGATGTATCGCGAATGCGCTGGCAGGCATTTGCAGGACATTTGTGGTGCGTTTGCAGCATGTTAATAACATTCTAGTTTAATATAGGCATTTGTGGTGTGGTTTTAATTCTTGTTAAACACTTATAAAATACTTCAAAACTGCAGATAAGGCGTTTGGGGAGTGCTTGTAAAAAGCCATATAAATGCCCATACTAAAGCTCATTAACGCCTGTCTAACACCTATACTAAAGCTATAGGAGCGTTTGGTAAAAGTTAGAAATGTACTCAAGTGTGAAGAAGCCTAAGGCCAGGAAAAGATACTACTAGTGGCTCCTGTGGGGGGGGGAGCGTTACATATAGTATTGATGGAAGAATCTCTTAGATTTTTAATTTATCCTGTTCAGGTTGAACAGAAAAATGTAGCTGTGTAAAGCCAGCTTAAAACATTAGTAGCAGTAGTAGTGTGATACAATACAGTAAAGCCAGGCTGACTCACAGAATTAAACCTCACACTGTTAGCCTGATGTCTTCTTGCCGAGAGCATGTGTAAGAATAATATCAAGATTTCAGATAGTGTTTTCCTAGCGCAGAACTGGACATAAAGTTATATTTTAATTTGCTTTTTATGAGTTTATCTATTCATTAAAAGCCCAGTAAATTATCCACCTCACTGCAAAATAAAGACACACTCACAACACTGGTGATTATTATACCTCCTTGTCAATTACTAGAAGTTCTACATCGGTTTTACATACGAAGGAGATTAATCTTTCACCGGTGACAAGTGCAATATCCTGCCAAAAGATAACAGAAAAATGTACAGATTATTACATTCTTCACTATACACATTCATTTTCTATACACACTAATTTTCCAAAATGAAAGTTGGCCACAGATGGATCAAAATTCAGCTGATTCACCAAGGTCAGATCAAATTTTGATCCATATGTGGATATCTACTGCCACTTAAAGGAAGTCAATCTTTGGTAAAATTTCGATTGAACGAACCTGTTGGAAATTAAAGCTGCTTGATCAGCACCTGCAGCCAATGGCTGTAGTGGTGATTTGAGTATTCTGACAATGGAGTAGTCCCCCTGCTATCAGAATACAATAGCGCAGCAGGGTGGATTCCCCCATCTACCTCTATTGTATGGATGGGGTACTCAGTTCAGTTTTTTTTTTCAGTTCATTGCCTACACATTCTTCAATCTTTTCTCATTTCTATTAATTCAAGTATTTTTATACTGTGATTATTCATTCTTTACATTACTACTGTACATAAGCCTTTTTATTGCTTATTATGCAAACCGCCAGGTCAAGTGCCACCTATGAGGCAAACCCAAGGATGAATGAATCAGGTGAATTACCAATTTTTGCATTTTTGATTCTCTTTAATTTTGGCATTCAGGTCTGTTTGATCAGTGATAAATCATGCAGTTCCAGAATCAAATCACAATCAGGACTCATGGGTTATGTATTACATGTCTCATCAGAATGCATGTATATATTCAAAAAAAAAATAAAACATTTCACAAATTTGCATAATTTTCAAACCTATGCAAACATTCTACTGGTAGGAGTACCATTTTATATACTTTGGGGCTGATTTACTAAAACTGGAGAGTGCAAAATCTGGTGCGGCTCTGCATAGAAACCAATCAGCTTCCAGGATTTATTGTCAAAGCTTAATTGAACAAGCTGAAGTTAGAATCTGATTGGCTACCATGAACAGCTGCCCCAGATGTTGCACTCTTCAATTTTAGTAACTCAGCCCCCATGTGTCCTGGTGTTATCATTTTGTAGGGTCTAAATAGAGAGCATTACATATTATATGGCATGCTCAGTAATCCTGGAAAGAACATATGTTTTCTAGGTTTGATACCTGTGAAGAGAATACAGCCAGCTGAAGGCTGAAGGCAATATAGTATTTTCAAGTATAACTAAAGCTAAATGTGTTCTTTCATTTTTGATAACGTAGAGTAGGCAAGGGTTAAAAAATGTGGGTTTTTTTCTTTACTTCCTGTGTTGTAGGCACAACAGGACATGAAAGGACAATAAATTATGTTTTCAATGTCAGGAAAGTTGCTTCTTAGTTAATTCTGGAACAAGCGTCCCCATTGAATGATTTTTCTCTATTCCTATTCTGTTCAAATCTCAGAATTTTGGAGCGTATCTCCATAACGAAACTGAACTAGCACTAGAAAACATTGGTTCTATCCCCTCACCGCTCTATCCAAATCTTTCAAAAAATCCTTTAGATATACTTTTAGTTCTCTCTTTCTGAAAGTTGCTTTAAACATTAAGATGTGAAACCCCTCCATTGAGGACAGCCCAACCAGACTAGGGTGGTGTCTGTTGGAGTGTGATGTGCCTCGGTTAGAACTCATCCAGGCCTTTAAGACAGAAATTTCCAAATTTAGATGCATGAGAAGCAATGGATAGCTCTGAAATTTGAACCTGAATTTGTCTTGTTTGCATTAGTTAAGCTGGCAGAAATAGTCCTTGTATAATGGAACTTTACCCATTTCTTTAAAGCGGTATTAAGCCCAAAACCAAAAATGTAATATATTGCAGCTTACCAGTCATTACACATAGTGGTTGTATTAGTTTTCTCTTCTTAAGCCTTTTCCTTCTTATTTCACCTGGTGATCTGGCCAATCACTCACCACTGTGGGTGAATAAGCACAGGGGGCAGATTTGGACAGTAGGATTGTTTTTTTTTGGGGGGGGATTAGATATACTAGCAGATTTAATTACAGTAACAAATTGAAGCTGAGTTTCAAATGAAACGTTATAATCTTTTACAGCAAACGATTTTTCCCTTTTGTAATAAATGTTTTACATGAATAAATAAAGGATTATCATTTAGGCACCCCTGCCAGTAGACAATGGTTTGTCTTATCCATGTAACTGCAAGAGACTTTCTGGCCAGATCACTAGATGAAAATAGAAGAAAGAAAGCCTAAAAAAAGAACACTAATTCAGCCATCACATCTAAGAATTGGTAAGCTGCAATATAATAAATGTTTGTTTATGGGTTTAATACAGCTTTAAGCCCATCTTTTCTGTCGCCTCCTTTTCTCTTAACATTAGCCAAAAAAAAAAAAAAAAGCATTTAAAAAAGGAAAGCTTTTTTTTACCAACCAAGGGCTCATGTACACTGCAGCTTCTAAACTGACGCTAAGGAGCTGTTCAGCGTTTTTTTCAGCAGCCCTGAACTCTCCCTAATGTTTTCCTATGTGTCCATGTACACATAGTCGTTTACAGGCAGTTGAGTTTACAGTCATTTTTTTGAGTGCATCAAACTTGTGTTCAGGAGTAGATTTTACCGGCGTTTCAAACGCCAAATGCTTGTAAACACATGTAAACGCGGTTAACCGCGTTTATAAGCGTTTGCGTTTAGAAGCATTTTTTAACTGTGCCATGTCCAGTTGCTGTCCAGAGCCTTTTTTCATCATCAGAAATGAATGCAAAGCGTTTTCCATGTATTCATATGGACCTAGTACACCAGTGCAGTCAGTTCCAGGTTTCGCGTGAAGGAAAGAAACGGTAGAACGTGCTGCATTATGCTCATGATGGGATCCATAGTAAATACAACCAGAAAAGACAGGTAATTTCAACACGTACAGCTCTTACTGCTTCTGCTCTCTCTATTCCTCTGAAAATGTCTGAAATTGTTAATTTTTTACTATTTTTCAGTGCATTCTGGGTATTTGGGAAGGTCTCCTGAGGTTATCTTTCAAAAACACTTCTAAACGCAAATGCACCTAAACACGGTATGCAAACGCAGCTAAACTGACGTTTTGTAACCTACGTTTTCCAGCAGTCAGTTTCCATCGTTCAGAAGAGTTTTCCAAATGCCCCGTGTATATGAACCCTTACTTTTGTTTATAATAAAACGATATAAGATACATGCACACACACTCCAAGAGGTTTCTGCCAGAGAACTGCAGCGTGCCTGTTTATGCTCCAGTTCTCAGTTAAAGATGGCTGCACTGAAGGAGATGGGTCAAAGTACAGCTTTTGCTTCAAGCAAGATAATGCTTGACTCCATGATCTAGTAATTATGTTTTTTAGGCTGGGACAAGTGTTAGGAATTTATTTTTTCGGGGTGAATCGTTAGGTAGAAAGTTGTTTTCTGTCATTTCTGGACCTGGGGGTCCCCAAGCAATTGCCTTAATTTTCAAGGTTTTTCTCTCACTTCCTGTTTGTCTATGGGACAGGAAGTGAAGGGAAATCTCCGCAATGAGACCCAAAAAAAGCCCAACAGGGGTTATAACCCTCCCTTACTCTATCCAAAATGAAAAAAAATAAGTTTTGCCTATAGTTCTACTTTAAATAAAGCTTAATTTCACCCCTTATCTTCACCCCACCATCACTCCTGTGTGTGAAATGAGGTATGAAGGCACAAAGGGCCACTATGCAGAATATTAGCTGGTGCGGTAGGGCTTGCAAAGCAAAGTAATTTCCTGTGACTTTGTGAGTGCCCCCTTGGAGTTGTTTTCCCTGGAGAGTATATGGCTATATTTGTTCTTCCTCCTTCACAATATGAACCCCAAAATATCTAAATAGTTACCCCCACAATGTCTCCTTCTTCTACTTCATATAACGAAGTTGTACTTAGTTTTCTTGATTTTGTATCTTCCTTGACTGAAGCTAAACTTCCAGATAATATTATAAAACATTCACGTGGTATATGGCCTTTTTTAATAACTAATGTTTTTGATTCGTACCTGGAAACACAAAGAATATATATCTGTTACATACATATAAATGTTACATGCTATTTGTTTTATTATTCTCCAGTCCAGTTCCTTTGGAAAAGTCATAGGATCAGGTAAACCTCCTAAAAAAGGGGCATTCTTAGGATATGCTGAAAGCCTAAGAACCTCCTGAAATAATTTCTGAATGTTAAGATAACAAACTATTGCAAAAAAAGTATTTTTTTTATTTGACTGTGTGCCAAAAAGTGCTTGACAATGAGCCTAAAATAGAGCTCCAAAAAATATCTATGGAAAAACAGTTGGAGGCATGTGTAATTTATTAATTGTACATGTTTCTCTGAGAGGTCTTTGTGCAAATATGGCTCTCCACGAATTGTTCTAGTGCAGTGGTGCAGTAAGTTCAATGATTCTGGTCCATGCACTTTCTACTTTCCGAGCTGCTATTTTGTAAATACAATTATTTGTTGCAATAAATATCTATGGGGCCACCTATCTCAGAGACTAACTCAATAGTAAGGACAGGATGTAGAGTTCAAAGCACTGAGGTATAAAAGCATTGAGGTAACAGTGCATCCACGCTTCTAGCACAACACATTTGCCAATATTGTCAGCTGTGAGATGTGAACTAACTATACAGAATGCAACTATACAGAAGAGAGACACAAAGGACATGTGTGCATTAAACATCTTCACCCATTCAGACCTCTACCAGTGCAGGTACGGAGTCATTTCACCTTTTTAGATATCTGTTAGGGCCTGTGTTAACAGACTTTGAGCTTCAGTAGATGACATCAGTTTGAGATGCTTCTGAGATCAGAATTCATTGAGAGGTGTTTCTGACCAGCAATTGACCTATTTCTGTCATGCTCACAGCCAGGGGCCAGGCTCGGAGACCAGTAGCTATAGCAAAAGAGAGGCATCCACCAATCAGTAGGGTAGGTATACAAGCAGGTCACCCTGGCAGATGATGCAGGCTCACCTGAGGTGCAGGGTCTAAGCACTAACTGGTATTCACCAGAGCTTCTGATGGTGGAGATGGGTTTTGCTGAGTGCTAGTGCAAGGTCACGGTCCTCAGGAGCGTCCCACCAGGAGGAGAGCAAGCCAGGGTTCAGTAGCAGATATAGCAAGTATGGATCAAATAGAAGTGTAGTCAGTAAATAAGCCAAAGGTCAGTAACATGTGGTTGCAGGTTGGGATCAGGTAGAAGCATAGTCAAGGAACAAGCCAAAGGTCAGTAATGAGTAGTAGCGAAGGTATGGACAGCATCAGGAGAGACAACAGCGAGAAATTGGCTGGAGAAGGCACAATAATCGGGCAAGCAGGAAGTGCAGAGACATGGCTTAAATCAGGAAGTTCATGGGAGGAGCAAAGAGTTCAAGGATCACGACAAACAAGGTAAAAGGAGGATCATTCAAGGATTTGTCCAGGGAGATGTCCAGCATTCCAATTGGCTTAGCAAGAAGAAACATTGCCAGACACAGCAGACATCCTACATTTGGACCCAGGCCCTAACACATGCCTTTGACCTGCTTCTAGTGGGTTTTTCACTCTCTAAGACTTGTATGGGAATGCAAAACCCATTTGAATCAAATAAAAGCCAATCAACACAGGACCTTAAGATTGCATCTACTGTTATTAACAGTTGCTGAAGTCCTCCATTACTGACTTCTTTTGTGGCTGTCTGCCATAGTTCATGCCATAGGATGAAAGTGATGGTGGCCTCCCCCTTACCATGCACTGTGATTGCAGGTTTCTTTGTAGTAACAATTAGCTGTCAGTAACTCCAGATGCCTCTCTAACAGATGTCTGAAAGGGTGAATGAGTCTCTACCCTATGCCACCAGTTGCTGGCTCAATATGCTATAGAACACCAGCACAGGAGGCAAAAACAGCCATCGAGCCCAGTCTGCCTCTGAAATGTGTCAGTTCAGAAAACAAACTCTGTAGGCCCAGGTAGTAAGGCAACACCCTCTTCAAAGGCACAGCAAAATACAGAATGTATTTTCTACATATATAGTAATGAACAAGAATATTTTATCTATTACTTACTTTGTGTGATGGAATGCCTGTCACTCCGATTGGATGATTCCTGTCAGAGAGCCACTTCCACGCCACTGGGACACAGGACCAGAGTATTATAACCAGGCATTGCACCCAAGACTAGACGAGACTAGCTTAGATGCCAAACTGGAACTCTTTTTTTGAACAGAAAACACAGGTTTTTATACACTTCACATATAGGGGAAGTCCCCACGTGAATAACCACAAATATTACACTTTAGGATAAATTAGGATCCCACATTAATTCGATAACAAGATAAAGCTGACATCAGTCTAATCTCATCATCTAGGAGCCTCCAAAGGGACTTGCCAGCAAACAAACAATAAGTGACTCAATTAACTCAATTAACAATGGAATGCACACCTAGGAGGCACACAATGATAGAAAGACATATAACACCTAATAAACAGATTAGAGCAAGAGTCCTCACATCAGGTTTGTTTTGAGCTGATTATATTAACATTTTCTTAGAGTCTTTGAGTCTAGGAAGGGGGGGTGTTGGAGCAGTCAATGTTGGTTTGGGCACAGAGATCCCAATTCTGTATTCTGGTCTGTGTGTTTTGGAGGAGACATTGAATCTGAAGTAAACTGCTCAAAAGGTCCCCCCAGACACACACCAAAGGATACAGCTCCTCGGATGCCAAGGCCATGGGAAGTAGGCAATAGGCTAGCCTGCAATCCCCTCCAAAAGCCCCTGTCCCGGCTGGGTCTGTCACATTAATGTAACAGACCCAACCCAACCTGATTAATCAAATCATTGTCTGAGTGCCTGGCTGTTGATTAGCTTACTGTTAATTAATCACTGTTAGCTGTACTGTTTACATTTTACACTGTTTAGGATAATGTGATCAAGCTCTTACCCAATCAATGTGGGATGTTTATTATAATGTATAATATTTGTTTTTATTGTTCTTGTGGGGATTGCTTCTATTTCTGAAGTATATAAAGAACATCTGTTCTTGTTCAATAAAGAAGTTGAGTGCAAAGCCCGGCTGTAATACCTTGGTCCTGTGTCCCAGTGGCAAGGAAGCGGTTCTCTGATGGAATCACCCAATCGGGCTGACATGCGTTTCATCACACTTTGGATCAACACCCCCAAGTTTTCAGAAGAACTATAAATATATAGTGGGATGAAATATATTTTATTTTGGTCAGGACTACAAATACATTTAAAAAGATATTTTTTTTTTGAAGATACAAAACATTTTATTTTACAATACCAAATCCAGCCAGCAGGATAAAGCTGAACTATTTAACTCTTTAAGTCTTTAAAAAGACTTTACCCTACCATTTTTCTTATTCCTCACTTCTGCGGGCTTCCTTCATGCCGTAAGTCTAGTCCCCCCCTAAGCCACTTTTCTTCACTGCCCGAGTTGTCGCAGCTCTCGGACTTCATCCCATATAATGCAGGTCCAGCAGTTCTGCATTGTATATGAAGACACGAGGGCCCATCCATAACCCAGGACAATGAACAGTGGAGAAGATCACTGACTTTCAGAGGAGTGGGAAATAATGTAATATACTTACGCTTGATATATGACATACTGACAAAGCTCCATTTGAGTCTTGTCCTGAAGACCTTGAAAGGCTCTGTTCTTCTTCAGACAAAGCTGAATCTTTAAAAACAAAATGTGTTTACTTTACTTCAATATATCATTTTGGCTTTCTTGATTAAAGTAATTCCTTGAGTTTTCTAACTGATCACAGCAGATGTAAGGGATGTTTTAATATAGGGTCTAAAGCTAGAACAGTTGTTTCATATAAGCAAACAGTCATTTGGCTGTCATTGTTTCATATTACACTAAGGGAAAATCGGGTTTGTCGTCATTAGTAGAGATGAGCGAATTATTCAAAAATTTGATTCGGCTGATTCGGCGAATTCGCGGAATAAATTCGATTCGAGTCGAATATATTCGCTGCGAATTTAACATATAAAAAGGGTGTTTCTAGGCTTCAGAGAGCCTTTATATTAGTGCAGAACACTGTACCTTTAATTTAAATGCCCTTGAAATCTGCTGGGGAAGAGAAATAATACTGTCAGTCAGTATGACATGCAGATGAGTGCCGTCGATCTTAGAATCACCGCACACTTCACTCATTTGGGCAGTCATGGGGCCAAAACCAGAGTGTGGAGCCACAGTGTGGCGGTGGAGGCAGCAGCAATGGGAGGCCATACAGCACCCTATGAAAAAATGGAACCCACCAGCAGTGTGAGGAGACCTGAAAGTGGCACATGGCAGAGTGTGGCGATGGAGACAGCAGCAATGGGAGGCCGTACAGGGACCCATGACACACTCTGGACCTGGCAGCAGCATGAGGAGGCGGTACAGGGGCCCATGACAGATTACGGGCCTGGCAGCAGCATGAGGAGTCGGTACGGGGGCCCATGGCAGATTACGGGCCTGGCAGCAGCAATGGGAGGCCATACAGCACCCTATGACAAAATGGAACCCACCAGCAGTGTGAGGAGACCTGAAAGTGGCACATGGCAGAGTGTGGCGATGGAGACAGCAGCAATGGGAGGCCGTACAGGGACCCATGACACACTCTGGACCTGGCAGCAGCATGAGGAGGCGGTACAGGGGCCCATGACAGATTACGGGCCTGGCAGCAGCATGAGGAGTCGGTACGGGGGCCCATGGCAGATTACGGGCCTGGCAGCAGCAATGGGAGGCCGTACAGGGACCCATGACACACTCTGGACCTGGCAGCAGCATGAGGAGGCGGTACAGGGGCCCATGACAGATTACGGGCCTGGCAGCAGCATGAGGAGTCGGTACGGGGGCCCATGGCAGATTACGGGCCTGGCAGCAGCAATAGGAGGCCCGTAATCTGCCAGCACCCTATGACAAAATGGAACCCACCAGCAGTGTGAGGAGACCTGAAAGTGGCACATGGCAGAGTGTGGCGATGGAGACAGCAGCAATGGGAGGCCGTACAGGGACCCATGACACACTCTGGACCTGGCAGCAGCATGAGGAGGCGGTACAGGGGCCCATGACAGATTACGGGCCTGGCAGCAGCATGAGGAGTCGGTACGGGGGCCCATGGCAGATTACGGGCCTGGCAGATGACAACGAGGCTGCCAAGTGCGATCAGCCTCATCATCATCAATTAGGGTCTCCGCCTCACTCCAACCCTACTCGGCTGCGTGTGGGTCAGGAGACAGACCTGTCTCTAGACCGGATACCGAGCCACTCTCCTCGCCAGTACTTCTTCGCCTGGCTGCTGAAGAGGCGGATGTCTCCCCCCGTACTTGACCGCCCTCTGTTAGCTCTTCCTCACTGTACAGTGGGGCTGAGCCCACAGCATGCGATACTTCGCTTGGTGAGGGAACACCAAAGGACAGGGGCAGGTAGAGGACACGTGATTTCAGTGGGCTTGCTCCCGGGCCATGCCAACTAACGGTTGTGTCTGACGTACCCACCGACCGTTGGCTGTAGGTGTCAGAGGTGACCTGGGAAGAGGAAGACGACTGAGCCAACCAATCGATGACGGCAGGGTTGTCGGTGGAGACACGACCGCTGGATGACACCGGGAGCACTGGCCTCTGGCTGCGACTAGTGCTGCCTCGACCCCTTCCTCTGCTGCCACGTCTGCTCACTCCTGAAACATTGCCTCCTCTGCCACTCCTCTGCGTGTTGTCTGACATACTCTTTAATTCAACGATTCTGTGTCCCTGAGTAACGATTCTGTGTCCCTGAGTAACAATTCTGTGTCCCTGAGTAACAATTCTGTGTCCCTGAGTAACGATTCTGTCTCCCTGAGTAACAATTCTGTGTCCCTGAGCAACAATTCTGTGTCCCTGAGTAACAATTCTGTGTCCCTCAGTAACGATTCTGTGTCCCTGAGCAACAATTCTGTGTCCCTGAGTAACAATTCTGTGTCCCTGAGTAACAATTCTGTGTCCCTCAGTAACGATTCTGTGTCCCTCAGTAACAATTCTGTGTCCCTGAGTAACATTCTGTGTCCCTGAGTAACGATTCTGTGTCCCTGAGTAACAATCCTGTGTCCTTGAGTAACAATTCTGTGTCCCTGAGTAACAATTCTGTGTCCCTCAGTAACGATTCTGTGTCCCTGAGTAACAATTCTGTGTCCCTGAGTAACAATTCTGTGTCTGTCCCTGAGTAACAATTCTGTGTCCCTGAGTAACAATTCTGTGTCCCTGAGTAACAATTCTGTGTCCCTCAGTAATGATTCTGTGTCCCTAAGTAACAATTCTGTGTCCCTGAGTAACAATTCTGTGTCCCTCAGTAACAATTCTGTGTCCCTGAGTAACAATTCTGTGTCTGTCCCTGAGTAACAATTCTGTGTCTGTCCCTGAGTAACAATTCTGTGTCCCTGAGTAACGATTCTGTGTCCCTCAGTAACAATTCTGTGTCCCTGAGTAACAATTCTGTGTCTGTCCCTGAGTAACAATTCTGTGTCCCTGAGTAACAATTCTGTGTCCCTCAGTAACGATTCTGTGTCCCTCAGTAACAATTCTGTGTCCCTGAGTAACAATTCTGTGTCTGTCCCTGAGTAACAATTCTGTGTCCCTGAGTAACGATTCTGTGTCCCTGAGTAACGATTCTGTGTCCCTGAGTAACGATTCTGTGTCCCTGAGTAACGATTCTGTGTCCCTCAGTAACGATTCTGTGTCCCTCAGTAACGATTCTGTGTCCCTGAGTAACAATTCTGTGTCCCTCAGTAACGATTCTGTGTCCCTCAGTAACAATTCTGTGTCCCTGAGTAACAATTCTGTGTCCCTGAGTAACAATTCTGTGTCCCTGAGTAACAATTCTGTGTCTGTCCCTGAGTAACAATTCTGTGTCCCTGAGTAACAATTCTGTGTCCCTGAGTAACGATTCTGTGTCCCTCAGTAACAATTCTGTGTCCCTGAGTAACAATTCTGTGTCCCTGAGTAACAATTCTGTGTCTGTCCCTGAGTAACAATTCTGTGTCCCTGAGTAACAATTCTGTGTCCCTGAGTAACGATTCTGTGTCCCTAAGTAACTATTCTGTGTCCCTAAGTAACGATTCTGTGGCCCTAAAGTCTCTTTGGCCCTAACTCTGTCCCTAATACACAGAGGTCTGTCTCTCTTGAACGATTCTGTGTCCCTCAGTAACAACTCTGTGTCCCTGAGTAACAATTCTGTGTCTGTCCCTGAGTAACGATTGTGTCCCTGAGTAACAATTCTGTGTCCCTGAGTAACAATTCTGTGTCCCTGAGTAACGATTCTGTGTCCCTAAGTAACGATTCTGTGTCCCTAAGTAACGATTCTGTGGCCCTAAAGTCTCTGTGGCCCTAACTCTGTCCCTAATACACAGAGGTCTGTCTCTCTTGAATGACCGGAGGCTAATGGAGAATTCTAAGATGGCCGCAATTTATAGCTCCACCATTACACAGTGCTGGCTGGCTGGCTGCTGATTGGCTAATGCGATCACATGTCATGAATGAATGCATTATGGGTCAGCGCGCCTTGTCTGCGCGCCTTCCCAGAGATCCCCGCTCCGTCGCCACACATGTCGCCGCCATTTTTGGGAAAATTCGATTCGTGCATCCGAAGTTTGCTAATTTTCGGATTCGGCGCGAATCAATTTTTCCTAATCTTCGAAACGAATTCCACTTCGCCATGTTCGATTCGCTCATCTCTAGTCATTAGTAACAAGAACATTTTTTTCCAAACACCAGCAACTGCCAGCAATTCAGTACTTGAATAAAACAAATAATTTTCAAAACACACTACATAAAAATATGAAAAGTGAACAGCTAAGAACCTGCTTCTGTTTTTTATATAAAATGATAATTAAAATAAAACAAAAAAACAGAGCAATTTATCAGCTTTTGTGTTCCAGCTATAATTTATATCAGGATATGCCCCCCCAGATTTTTGAAGTAATCATGCAAACGTGTTTGAAATATATTTTATCTGAATCAGATTTTGATTTTATAGATACTTACAGGGGTGTACAAAAAATGGCCACTGCCCCAGTCTATAACTGCCCTTCACAGCAAGGAGCACATGGAAGGGTGACGCATGTCAAACAACAAAACAGAAAAATTCCCAGCTGGCTTGCAAACAAACCAAATTAAGCTGTCTAACAGTATGCGTTAAAAATGGATTTAATTTGCACACATTTGCAAACACATGCATGAGCTACAGAGCCTTGTCACTGCACCCCAGTATTCTGTAGTGCCTAACTCTCTTAGGAGCCCCCATAGTAGAGGCACATGTATTTAATGGATAGACCAAGGGCAGGTGAACCTGAGGGAGCCCACCCCTCCTTAAAGGTACAGGAGCACACTGGACACCCAGCATGTAGCACAATGGCAGCTAAAGTGTCCAGTGCGCCCCCCTTGACCAACAATTCAACAATACAAGAAATGGCCACTGCCCCAGTCTATAACTGGCCTTCACAGCAAGGGGCACATGGAAGGGCGACGCATGTCAAACAACAAAACTTCCCAGCTCAACTTGCCAGCCAGCTTGCAAACAAATCAAATTAACCTGTCTAACAGTATGCGTTAAAAACAGGGGTTTAGTTAGCACACATTTGCAAATACATGCATGAGCTACAGAGCCTCGTCACAGCACCCCAGTATTTTGTGGTTCTTACAGGGGTGTGCGCTCACTTTTTTCTCTGTATGTTAAGGGATATCTACCCTGTAAGTTTTACAAAGATCTTTTTGTCTAACTCTAGTCCAAACGGCAATATTTTGTTCTTTCCAACTTTCATGTTTTTCAAAATAATTTTGTAATAATAATACAAACTTCTGGAGAACTTCTGGTTGAATTTTACACATTGATACATTTTGGAGAAAAAACTTTATTACTAAAAAAACCGGACTTATTTAACACTTTTATTCTTATTTTAAAAAAAGTGATAAAAATTATATACAAATTTATATACAAAACCTTTCTGGAAGTCTTAATATTTCCACAACTATCTATATCTCAGGTTCAAATATTAGATAAAGACATTTTGGGGGATGGCATTAAATAGGCTATATTATTGTCACTTCCCCCCTGAAAGTGTATAAGTATCAAAAATCCATTTTTACCTACCCTAGAACTAGTATACAAAAATACTTTTTTTCTACTGGGAAAACTACCTCAGTCAATGTATAATTCTACTTGAAACAGGATAATGATCAAATTGATTGTCTTACAAACCAGTTTCTCTATCAAATAGTGGCTATAAAAAGAAAAAATCTTTGACCACTAGACTGAACTCCTTATTACTGTCCTTGGTACATGATGATCAAACATACTTTTTGCTTGGAAAGTCCGCCACATATAATATTTGCATAGCTTAATTGTCTCTTCTCAGCTATCAGAACATATCCTGGCATCATGCACCATAGCTTCTCTGGATATTGGGAAGGCTTTTGATTCCATAGAATGGCCTTTCTTGTAAGCCTGTCTTGTTCACTTCCATCTGAGTCCAACATTTCCAAAATTAATCAATATCCTTTAAGCTTATCCACAATATAACATTTTTGATCAATAGAACACATCCTTTTATTTTTATCAATGAGTACAAGGCTTTCTTTTATAGGCCAAAAAGAAAGCCTTATATTAATTGATGAAAATACAAACCTTTTTCTGAATGGTGGAGAAGCATTAAGACTTTTGCAGCAGACAGGAAGTTTGATCCTTCTCTCTAGGTGCCCATGATGGTACCAAAAAATCCATTTTTTACAGAGCTTTCTTCATTTGTATGCGGCATTGCCAAACCTCTACAAATACCCAAATGAAGACAGGCAATTGAAACATATCTAGTTACATCAGGAGAACCAGCTCCAGATCAATTAATTGCTGTGATAGCCTGAACCTGAGATATAGACAGTTGTGGAAATGGTAAGACTTGCAGAAAGGTTGTGTATGTCATTTTGGGATTTATTGAATGTAGATGTGTAAAAATTCACAAAATCAATCTGATATTCCTTTATCATTCGAGACAAACTTTTTTTTTATAAAGAATAAAGGTGTTATATAAGTAATGTTTTCTAGTATTAGAGGGTTTTTTTTTTCCAAAATGTACCAATGTGCAAAATTCAACAAGAAGTTCTCCAGAGGTTTGTATTATTACAGGCTATCACAGTGGTCACTCAGTAAAACCTGCCCCTGTGCTCTCTTTCTCCTCTGAATAAAGAAAAATATACATTGTATTTTCTTCTCTTAGCCACAGA